AGCCAGGGCTGAGCCAGCCCAAAGTCAAAAGCCAGGAACCCTATCTGGATCATTCCAAATGCAGAATGAGAGAGAGAGAGAGAGAGAGAGAGCATACTTTCGTCCACTGGTTTGCTACCCAAATGCCCACAATAACGGGCTGGGTTAGGCTGATGCCAGGAACTACATCTGAGTCTCTTATGTGGGTAGCAGGAACCCAAGTGCTTAGGCTATATTGGGTGCCTTCCCAGGTTCAGGAACCTGGATCAAAAGCCAAGGAGTTGGGATTCAAACTGGCACTCTGATTTAGGATGTGGGTGTCACGAGTGTTGGCTTAACCTGCTGTTATCACAATGCCCACTCCAAGATGCATCCATTTCTATATGTATAGTATGGTTTCCCTAGGGAATTGTATCTAATGTCAAAACTTTATTTATATACACACACCCCAGTAACACAAATGTGATGTCACAAGGACTGACATTTGGCCTAAAGATTAAGATACCTGTTGAGATACCTGCATCCCACATCAAAGTACCTGAGTTAGATACCTGGCTCCACCACTTCCAATCTATCTTCTGCTAATGCACCTGGAAAGGCAGCAGATAGTCCAAGTAATTGGGTTTCTGACATTCATATGGGAGACCTGGATGGAGTCACCAGCTCTGGGCTTCATCCTGGCCCAGCCCCAGATGTTTGGGGCACTTGGATAGTGAGCTAGGATGGGAACACATTCTCCCTCTCCCTCTTCCTCCCTTTCCCCCTCCCTCCCCCTTCCTCCCCCTCCCTCTCCCTTTTCTTCTCTCTCTCCTTCCCTCTCAAATAATAAAAAAGTTACATCCCAGATTGTGAGCTTAACATTAGAAAGGTCCATGAAGGTGTCAGATCCAATGTCATGATCAGTGCATAGTTGGCAGTTTATTATCTCTACTTTGTTTAATCCCTTTCAACAATAAGAAATTTAAGTACCTCTCAAGATATCCTATTGTGCCTTTGGATTGCTCTAGTTTTAAAAAAAAAAACCTTTTTGTTACATTCTATTAAAATTTGCCTTCGTAAAACATCCACTCAGTGGTGGCAAATGCTAGCATATGAAGCAGCACAGTAGTCGTTTCTCTCTTACCTGATACTTTTGCAAGTATGACGATAGATATCATAGATTCCTGGGCTTTCTTCAGTCAACCATCTCCAAGTCTTTTGAAATACTTCTCATCAATTAAAATGTTGTTGTTTTCTTTTGCTTTGATTATGGCTTCAAGATAACTTTTTGGTTTTCTAAAACTAACAAGTATAATTATAAAAGTAAAAATATGAGACTATATGAAATGCTTTGCAAGAATTCAAATATTTAATATCCCCTTGCTCCCCTCTCATCTTCTAATTTCACAATTCTATTAGAAAACCCATTAAGCATGACTGGAAGTGATTTATTCTTTACAAAAACCTCATGCTGCTTTTGTTTGGGATTCTGTTATTCTCCAGATATTTATTTTGTCCTTCCTTAAAAATGAAAGAGAAAAGAAAATAAGAGCCTGGTAAATGCTTATTGGTACCTTGAGTAATTTGGACTTGACAAATGTCAATGTGACATGAAAATTTCTCTTGAGGTTTTACTGTTTCTTTTCTAGTGACGGGTTAATATTTCTTACATTGTTTTCAGACCTTGACTCCTGTCATTGGCTAGGAATGGAATAGAACTGGAATAGCAGCCACATAGGCTTAGTTAGCATGCTGATGCACAGTGGAACTTGTACAGCACTCTGTTGAACAACAAATGGAACCTGGGCGTTCAGATCTCAGCAAATATCTGGGAAATGGCTGTAAACCATCCTCGTATTAGCAGCACTGGAGCTACAAACGCTTGAAACACTGCACATAGATGAACTAGGTGGTTGCTTCACCAATTTGATCTCAGGCATTAGCAGTAACCGTCAAAGGATCCCTCCACTCACCCAAAAGGGGTCTTGGCTGGCCTTTCACAGTGCTCAAATTGTTCATTCTAAGAAATGTTTTCCTTTGAGTTGAAGCATTGATTCTTTAAGAGTCTCAAATTTAGTCCTTCAACATGGATTCATGTATCAGATTGCTTTTCAAAGGGGCTGCTAGTTGAAAGCAGGGTCCTAATCAAGAGCTAAGTTGTAATAAGGGAAGGGACAGGGCTGGAACATGCAAGAAGGTAATCTTAGATGAGGATTCTTGGAGATGGAAGCTCTACGAAGTCAATGATAAATAGCAATGGGCACTGAATGTTCAAAAGACCATGTAAAGATGGTCCATTCTTCAGCATCAAATATTTTTAGCCAAGAATAAGGAAAGAAGTTGACAATAGCATGAAGAACAAATAAAGGGTTGCAGCCACCACAGAGTAAGCGAGAGAGAGAGAGAGAGAGAGAGAGAGAGAGATTGAGTGAGTCTTCCAAATGCTAGTTTACTCCCCAATTGACACAATAGTTGGAGCTGCATCGATGCAAAGCCAGGAGCCAGGAGCTTCTTCCGGGTCTCCCACATGGGTGCAGGGGCCCAAGGACATGGGCCATCTTCTACTGCTTTCCCAGGCCATAGCAGAAAGCTGGATCAGAAGTGGAGCAGCTGGGACTCGAACCGGCGCCCCATGGGATGCCGGCACTGCAGCCAGAGGCTTTACCCGCTACACCACAGCACCGGACCCTAGATAGGATGTTAAGTGAAAGAAATCAGACACAAAATGTCATGTGTTGTATGATTTCATTTATATGAAAAAGCAAGAATAGGCAAATCCATAGAGACAGACAGCAAATTGGTGGCTGTGTAGGGCAGGGAAGGAAGAGAGGATGGGCAATGCCTGCTAATAGGTACAGAGTTTCTTCAGGGGTCGGGCATGAAATGTTCTGGAACATGGTTATGGCAATGGTTGCACAACTCTCTGAATGCCCTGGAAACTGCTGAGTTTGTATAATTTAGAAAGACGAATTGCATGTTGTATAAATATTATATCAATAATTTTCTTTTAAATTAAAAGAGTAGGTGGCTCTCATCATCATCTGGATCCTGAGAAAATCAAAGATCAATTTAAAGGCCTTATCAGTAGAAACATTTCTTGTTCGAGACAGATTTGCAAATCCACTCTTTTCTCCTAACTCATGGCAAGCTTCAAGTCAGTTGCCAGGCAATGAAGCCTACTGATGGGCCTAGGCACTTGTGAAGAGCTCACACACTGGGGCCTCAGCATGCAATCAGTTGCTAGCTAGACAGCAGACCAACCTGGGAGGTGGCTCAATCCTAAACCCTTAACTAAAAGTAATTCTGAGACAGAACAAGGTCACAGACTGGAAATAAATTCCGTCATTTCACTTCCTCCCTCTGAGATGTTAATGAGCGAAGCTGCTCTGCATAATGTGGGACATCTTTCCAAATTCACAGTGACATTATTGGCAGGATCAGAAGCAGCTGCAAGAAAGTCAAACCACCCCTCTCCCCGCTCCTTGCTGTCACCTAAGATTTTCGAAACTCTTTGTAGCCAGACAAATGGTTCCTTGCCACAAGAATGTGTTGGAGATGAAGCTATATTTTAATGAGGCCCTTCTAGTACTTTCACAACTAAACTTTCTTCAGGAAGATCAACTGCATTACAGCAATGAGCACCAGCCTCAAGCACACTCGCCCTGTAATTCAGAGCCTGCAAAAACAAACCAAATGTCTAGAGACAAAGAAACTGGAAGAAGTGCAAATGCCCGAGGCCAGGTTTCAAATCAGAGCTCCCCATCCTTTCCAGCTGACCTTTGTGTCAACCCAGAGGCTATCTACCCTTTGGAGATGGGCCGGGGCAACTGAAAAGTCAGCACACCTTTGCTGACCTCTGACCCCAACTAGCAAAGTCCCAGAAAGGGTCTTTTTAAAAAGAATTGAACACATGGTAGCAGATAGCTTCGAATGAAATAACTTTATATCTTTTCTTCTTCCTTGAAATTCCAAAGAATGAGAACATTTTCTAGTGCAGATAAAAAAAAAAAAAGGTTATCTTCATGTATTCAAAATGACATAGGGCTAGATTTAAAAGGATTTTAAAATTAAAATGATTGTGTTTCACAGATTACAGCCTTTCAATTCCAAGCAAACTTGACCCGGAGTCAGGCCTGTACCCAAATACCAGGTGCCCTGTGTCTGAGAAGCCTCATACCAGGTTCCAGAATAAAATGCCCTAGGCAACACCCAGTGTCAAGAGGCTTCGCAGATCAGGGGATGCAAAGGGCTCTGCTGCTTCTGGCCTGACAGTTCTGTTCTGCCCACTCCAATTGGCCCCATGGAGCAAGGATGACTGGAAGGCACAGGCCTTAAGAGTTGATGTACATGCTGTTTTGTTGAAGCTGTTTGGATGCAGCAGTTTTGATGCCAGGCACATTCTCTCATGGTTTAAGAGAAAACCCTGTACATTAGAAAGATTAAGATTTTTAATATTGGTAAGAAATATGCACAACAGATGTCCCGGTCTTGTCCCTGCAAACAGACAAGTAACTTGCAGTTAGGGTTGGGATGCCTGTTGTACTTATGACTTGATATTCAGACACAGTGATACCCCATTTTGATAGGGGTGATAACGGCTATCAAAACAGAGCCTAGAATGATCAGACCCTTTGCAGTGGCTGCTTCTACAACTTCTATACAAGTGACTCTTAAACTTTCCTCTGCCTCACAATCACCACCTGAGGTTAAAAATAAAACTCCTAGACCTTACCCCTATGATAAAATTCTAAAAAAGGACTGGGGAGAGTCCCAGGAAACTGCAGATGTGCAAATGGTCCAGGGAGAACTTTTTGAAAAACCTGCCTTAGAACTTTGCTCTATTCCAGCAAAATACACACTCACCTTCACACCATCTTAGGAGAGGCCCGGAGGGATTGCCTTGTGTACTTGCCTGAATCCTCCTGGAATAGCCACAAGCTGTGTTAGGAATTGGTGTGTCCGGTAGATTTGCCCTGTTGAATAACACTGATGACTCTCTGTTTGTTTTCACTTGCCACTCGTGGATACCTTGTGCACCCTAGAAACAGAGATACCAGACATAGGTAAGCAAATCACGTGGGCAGCTGCCTAAAAACCCCTGTTGCCTGAAAGACCACTTTCTAATAATGTGCTGACAGGGAAATTGTGCTTCTTAAGTAAGTTGAAAGGGATAATGTGAAGGTTGAATTTGGAAGCTACGATGCAGGTAAGTATCCTCCAAAAGAAGAGGGCTGCACAAAGTAGACTTGCCGGAGGAACGGAACATACTGAAAAGAAAACAAGATAAGTGAAAACTGGCACTTCAGTACTTCATGGGAAAGCAAAGCCTTAAGTCTCATTATGTTTCCCTAAGGTGCTATCACAAATGAGTCCATAAGTTCAAACACATTTGATGTTTTCAAGTTGCAGGTAGAGAGAGGGGTAATACAGCAATCTCCCTAGAGCCAGAAATATAGTTGACAAGTATATTAAGAGACAGTGACCACAATGACCTTCTTTAATAAGATTTTTTCTTTTATGTGACTTTATAGTTTCTAGTTCTTCCCACTAAAAAGAAGTAATACAAAAAAATTCTAAACTGATCATTTACCAACAATGCCATGTAACTCCAAAATTCATCGTATTTCTTTTCAATTTGTTTATGCATTACACTTGTGAAAACTGTTCTAAATTACCTGATATTGCAAAGGAGAAAATTGAATTTGCCAACTCTCCAATGCCAATTATTATCAAAATGGCACTGATTGGGTTTTTAATTTGAGTTTCATTTTGGATATGCCACCTCCTAAATGCCAGTGCACAGGATCAGCCTACTACTTTGGCATTACTGATTCCTTAAGCAGATCAAGTTGATTGTCAAATTGCTTACTGGTAAAGTGTTGCACAATATTAATTATAAGCATTAATTGCCCATTTAACAATCCATGTGATTTTTAGCTAGTATGGATGAAGTGATATTTGCGAAGTTGAAGGGCATTGCTTGAATGTAAAACTAACCAAAAGGTGATAATAAATCTAACACCTAAGTTACAAAAGAAATATTCACATATCCCCATTTCAATATGTATTTAGACACAAGAGATTAAAGCAAATTGGAATATAGTCCAGTGGTTTTTCTTCTCTGGCATAGCATGTTTTCAGAAAGTAGAAAGAAATCAGTCTCAAAAGAGTTGAAATGCGCTTGGGAAATGGCATGAAATGGCAAGAAATTGCATAAAAATATACAGGACATTCCTGTTAACTGTCAAGAAAATAACAATCAGATTTGAATTTGGTATGTTGGACTATTCCATTTTCTAAAGGCCAGTACACAAAGTTTGAGAATACCCTAGCTGAACAAAATAGAACATGTTGCTCAGAAGAAAGCAGGAACACTGATTATTTTATTTTATTTTATTTTATTTGGTCACCTTCAGAATAATAAGCACCTGATGGTATTTTGCATATAGTCATAAGATTAGATCTGATCTAATCTCACTCCAGGCCCAGATTCGTTACTGACCCTGGGCAAGCCCCTCTGTGTCTGGTTTTCCCCAGCTGGTATTTGAGGAGAATGCTAATTCTAACTTCCCTTGCAGGCACATTGGGAATATTCAATAATGAATGAATGTAATGCATTCCTAAGTAGTTTGTGCGAATAACATTTCTCTTGGAAAAAATAGCCTATGGACTCTTCCTAAACAAAGCATGATTAATCTGGCTCTGTGGAAACTCCACAAACTGGCTACCAAAGTATTGAAGTTGTTTTAGGGAAGAATTGTGACCCCCTTCTTTAGTCTAAAAAGATCTAAATACTTAGACAAATTTTATGCTGAAGGCAAAAATTCCACTAAATATGTTCAAATTTTACTCAAATCCCTGTTCAAGCAGTCTTTGCTACAGAGATGCCTTGTCTGGTATGAATGCCAATTCAGTTCTGGAGTCGGTTGGGGCCCTTTACATTTATTTACAGCACCTGTCATGGAGATTCCAGGGTTGAAGATGTCCCTGGAATCTACTGGATTCTCTTACTCAATGAAGGTAAGTAGAAAAAAATCAAGTATTCCAATTGGACCTGATTTTTTTCCAATGAAAACTATGAACTGATTCTCAAATGAGTACTTTCTAGCCTTATTGTTATTAATATACATAAATATGCTTAGAAAATGCAATTACAAATGCAATTAAAAACATGCCCGTCCTTAAAGGTATCTTAATGGTTCTGAGGATCATCTTACCTCCATTTTGCTTGACTAAATGTCTTGGTTTCATATCCTACAGTTCAGCTCAGTTCCACACTCACTAAACACCAACCATGCCGCTGTGTTGGTGCTAACGATAGAGAAATGCCTATGTTCCTGCCTACAAAGCATTCACAGTGCTGGAAAGAGAGCCATGTTGGAAAACAGCACTTACACTCAGCACCCATTCTCCAATAAAAGATGAGACGTCTTTGGAGAAATGGCTGATTCTAGAATTGGAGAAGGCATTATATGAGTTAAGCCGAGAGCATCTCACAGTGCTAAAAAGTAAGGCAGCGCTAACACCTAAAAGCTTCAAAAGGCAAAGGGGTACACAAGCCACCACAAAGAGCTTCCCAATAGCTAAAGCTGGAACAATTTGAACAACAAAATGAAGTGGCATTGGATTTAATGCAACTCTCAAAAGAAACATCCATTAATCCATAATAAATAAATGGTTGAATTCACAAATAAATGGAGGATAAAAGATGGCTCCCATTCAGAATAATTCCAAATAATTTATATATAGACACTCTACCCTCAAGGAGGTTGAGCATGACTCCCTACTTCTGAAATGTTGGTTGGACACAGTTATTTCCTCCCAAAGAGTGTAATATGGAACATGACAGAGAAAGAGTAGCTTTACAGTGGCAAAACCTGACAAACGCTACCTCAGTTAGGAGATCAAGGTCAGCCCATCAGTAATACATCATGTCGTTTTATGTACCCTTGATATGATTTGATCAGAATGACACTTTATCTCTGGCCTTCCACTTAAATGCTCTTAACCTCCAAGGGAAAAAAAAATCAGATACATTCACATAGAGGGTATCCTACCAAAAAAAACTCTGACCAGTACTCCTCAAAATTGTTATAGTCATCAAAACCAAGAAACATCTGAGAAACTGTCGCAGCCCTGAATAGCCCAAGGAAACATGAAGACTAAATGTGATGTGGCATTCTGAATGAGATCTTGGAATAGAAAAAGGACATTAGGTTTAAAAAAAAGACTAAAGAAATCTAAATAAAGTATGGATTTCAGTTAATTCTAAAGAATAGAGCTAATATCATGTGAAAGGTGCTGCTAGCTCATAGCCTTCCTGCTCATTTCTCTCTCTGTAGTGCTCTTAATGCTTGGACTTAGACTGAATTTCATGAAGAAAGGGACTGTATCTTGCATACAAGTAGCAATATACCATATTAGACCTCAGCGCAGTTCTTGGATACAGTGTATTCCCTTAGTAAATGCTTCTTACTGAGTTTATAAGCCAGTCTACAATGTAGAAATAGTACCAAGGAAGGAATTCAGATGAAAAATAATGACATCAGAGGTTAAGAAAAAGCCAACAGACTGGTGAAGATTTTAGGAGGTAGAATTTTTTTAAAACTACACTTCACTGAATGTGGGGAATGGTGGAAAGAAGGAGGGGGAAACAGTGGCTTCTGGTTTAGGCTTAGAAAATTTAGTGCTAGGCAGATTTCTGAGCATTGAGCACAGTAGATAAACAAGACAAGGTTGCTCTCCTCCAGCCTCTCATAGTTTATTGGGTAGGGATGCAAACACATGAACAAATCTAACGTGTAATTCCCAGAATACAGGTAAGCATAGTGCAAGTAACCAGACTGGAGATTTAGGGGAGCTTCCTTCAGGCAATGAAGCTTAAGTAAAGCTTGAGAGGCAAGTGAAAATTAAGTGAAGAAAAGAATAGTAAAAGGGTTTTAAAGATGAGAGCCAAGCAATCAATAATCATGGAGATAGTGTAGGAAAAAGTGAATTTAAGATTCCACAAAAAACTTTCCTGTGTACCAGACTATAGAAAATATTCTAGGCCAGAGATGATGAAAGTTAGAACTAACGTAACTATTTTACAGACAGTTGCATGTGGGGAGAAAAGGAGGGATCAGAGACAACTTCCAGGTTTAGGGCTTGAATGATGTAAGCAGTTCATGTTAAGTATCCCCCAAACCAAAATTACTGCAGCCACCAAAAAATAAATTAAGTAGGAGGAATCAAAATAATGAGTGATCTCACATATCTATGCAGATAGATATAACATATGACGCCCTATCGATGTTTAACTGTATAGTTTCAGGAATGCCTGTATCTACTCAGGGTAACTTTAGTGTCACCTTCAGGAGTATGGCTATGTGATTGCACAATCATGTAATTGTGACTATAATTTGAAAAAGGTTAAATGTAATTAGTTCTATTATGCCCTGAAAGAAGGAAAAATGGATCAGAGAATTGTAGTGGTCAGTTATAAAAGGAAAGCAGGGCCCCAGAAGAAAAGGAGTAGGTTTATGAGGCATGGGGAAGGTAGGAAAAGAAAATAACTTCTGTTTTGGGTTTGTTGAGTTGGAGGTGACAGTGAGATATTCAGGAAGTCATTTAGTTGGTAATTTTTTGATAAACAAGTATTAAAAGTATGAGAAATGTGATATCCTGAGATTTTCTGTGTTCTGTTTTTTTCTATCCCCTAATGAATGGTATTGAAATGTCAGCATCATTACAGATAAACAGCAGACATTGGATTTTTTTCATACCTAGACCCATTACTAGAAAAGCAAAGAGATATTCATCCTCTCAGTACATAAAAAGGAAGATACATGAATTCTTTCATCTATTATGAGGCTTTTTCCAATTGTGACAAAGGCAGACCCCAGGGGGTACATGTTGAACAAACTGCTTTGAATAACTTTATTTTTCTCTTCCTTAGCACAAGTCCTGCTCACAAATATTACCTGGCTATGGACCCTATGTCTGAATCCCTCTATCTATCAGACACCAATACTCGAAAAGTCTACAAGTTGAGATCTCTTGTGGAAACAAAAGATTTGTCCAAGAATTTTGAAGTGGTAGCAGGAACAGGTGACCAGTGCCTTCCCTTTGACCAGAGCCACTGTGGAGATGGTGGGAGAGCATCAGAAGCTTCGTTGAACAGCCCTCGAGGTAAGAAAAAAAAACATCCTTTGGTCATCTAAAGATTTCACTTGACTTCATGAAATCCTAAAACCATCACTACACTGTAGCCCATCCATCCATCTGAATATTCTGCTTCTGACGGACACCTGTTCTGAAGTCTATCTCAGAGGATAGGCACATCCAAGACTAATTTTTAGCTAGTATGTGTTATTATGGCTGTAACTGTTATTAAGACATTGAAATTCTTTCTTTCTAGCTGATAAATATCTATTGCCCAGAATCTTCTTACCACCACCACCACCACCACCACCACCACCCTGTGAGGAGTCCTCCTGGAAACTCCTCACAGCCCAACATCTAAAGGGTTAACCTTGCTCAGCAGAAAACCTGCTTTATCTCTGTGGCCTGCATTGGTTGGGAGCAAGTCTGTGCCCACATTCTACCCCTGTCAAATATGTGGAATATCTTACAGACCCTAAACACTTCTTCTGGCTGAGGTTTAACAAATTTTAATGACCCTTTCTTACACTAATTTATCTAAATCATTCTGGAAGCTACTTATATATTTTATTTATAGCACCTCTAAGATAACATAGTCCTCCCCTTTTTTTTTTCTTTTGCCTTCCATGGAAGCTCAGCCTTACTTTTATTGGTACTAAATTCATTTCTCAATCTTCAAGGACCAACCCTCAATTCTACCCCCTGGAATTTAATGAGCAAATATCTGTCTCTCAGTGTAATGTAAAATCATGATTTTTTAGTCTTGGATCATAAGCCCATCTTAGGCCACTAAGCTGAAGGATAGTTGATTTTTAAGTCTGTCATCATGTATTACATACACTGTCTCTTTATTATTTAATCACTTCACTGTTCCTTCTCCTAGATATATGTGCACACATTTTAAAATATACTCATGTACTAGTTTTTATAAAGCCATGTGCTTTTAAAATTATTGCAATAACAATAAGCATTTATTGAAGAAAAAAGGAAAAAAGTTTCATTAAAATTACCTGTAAGCCTACCATATATAGAAAACCTCCATTAAATTTTTAGTGTTTGTCCTTTTAGACTTTTTCTGTGCATATCATATATTTTAATTCCCTAAAAATGGACTCATATTATTCAATGCTATTTTATAGCCTGCTTTATATACTTAATGTAGGATGAACATGTTTTCATGCCAATAAATGTAGTGAGGTCAATGTGTTTAATCTGTTAGATGGTAATTTATTATTGCAAATATTATGAAGTTACTCTTTAGCCATTTGACATTTGCTATATTGGAATTAAATTCCAACTACTATCAAAGCTTAAAGCTTTTGCTTTCTTCAAGGTCTTTGTTTTTCATAATCTTCTCTGGCTAACCCCAGCCCATTAAATCTCAATTTCCTTAACAGCATCTGTACTACCCAATTAGCCCTTGATTACATTTTGCCGCCTTTTTCTTTCCAGTTCTTTCATGAATGGGAGATTGTTTTTCTACCAAAGTAAATTACTCAAGATGAGAAACTGCATCTAATATTTTTTAATCTTCCCTACCTTCCCACCAACTTCTAGCACAGTGCGGCATCCACTGCATGTGCTCACCTGCTTGTTGTCCAACTTATCAATTAAGTAATTCATATCTATGCCAAATATTCCCAAAAAGAACTTCAGTGGTGTTTAAAGGAGGCAACAAAAACATAAGAGATATAAGAGAGCTCTCCTGGCCCCATGCCACCCCCACCCCCACCCCCACCACTGCTGGCCAAGTATTATAGTAAAGTGTTTCTTTTTTTCTCTGTGCCAGTTCTCATTTATTACATGTAATGGTTCACAGCAAGCATTTGATGAGTGAATGAATAACTCAGGTCCAACATGTAATTGGCCCATCTTTCAAGGAAATACACTAAACTTGGTCTCACCTTTAACACAAGTTTAAAACTCATGTGGATATTATAAGAATTTCTGCATAAGAAATAGGGAGAAATCAAGCTTGTATTGGACCTGAAATTGACATCCTCCTGAGTTACTGCTAGTACAAGAACCACTCAACTCACCTACCACGTTCAACCTGCCACACAGAGAATGAATATCTTGGGTTTTCCAAAGAAAGCAAATAATTGATTCACTGCAGCTGTGTGTGTGTGTGTGTGTGTGTGTGTGTGTGGCTTGGAAAGCAGCAATAAGAGTCCTGATGAACAAGATTTACGTGAACTCTTGAAGCATCAGTAATGAGAATGCCAAAATTTATATATCTATTAAAACTAGTATTAAACTAAGTTTTTCTTCTTGTCATAGCTAGTAGTGCATTTCCCTTTGGCCTGAGTTACCGATCTTGCTATCTGAGAGTGGTCTTTACCATAATGCACTGCACTTCATTTATCCCAAAGTTATGGGGGAGCCCTAAGACTCCTAGCCCAGGCTTAGGACAGAGCTGAATGTCTTAAGCCATCCAGGACAGCTTTTACATAACATTCCTGAAGCTGGTGTTGTCAGCCTCTGCTCTGGTCCACTGATTAAACTAGAATGCTTAAAGGAGTGGGATGTGTGATTCACACTACAGGTATCTGCTACATCTCCTTCAACCATGCTAACAGTATTTGAAGACCCTGTTGGTGATCTTTAAAGTCACTCATCTGGCAAAATGTATGTCCAGACATCAGTCACTCTGAAAATGCTGCTCAGAACACTCAGGTGCTCAGCTATGGCACCCATCTCCATGCCGAATACAGACAGAATTCACCCTTGTCAGTGAATCAAAACTGAGATTCTCGTTGTGTGGAATGCTTCAGGGCAATTTCATAGCCTTCCATAGAAGGCAAAATCAGGCAAGAGGTTATTAAATCATAGTGTGCAAATTGAAAGGAGGATACTGTTGATTGTTAATTTCATCTTTGAGGTTATCCTGTAGGTTCTTTGTCTCCCAAGAAGGCCCAATTTGTTTATTTTTGCTCTGCAGCTACTATGCACATCAGCTTTTTCCTCCCCCCCGCCCCCAGAAGAGAGCAAGTGTTCAATGGATTTCTTTAAGGAGAAGTTTGATTTTTCCCCCTCTATCTAGAAGCTCATAAAGAAAAGCTGTAGATCAGTAGAAAATGGAAATGTACATCTAGGGAGCACCATTTCTAGGTTAGGAAAGAAAGCTTGCTCTAAGACTTTAACAAGCAACATATTGCAATTATGGGAAGACTCTCCAACATGTCTTTAATTATACAAGGTAAGTCAAGTAAATGTTAATCTGCAAGGCAGCTAGTAGACTTTCTGAATCTATTCTAAAAATAGGATAAAATAAAATTTGTTTGGGGGATCATACAGCCTAAAGTTGGAGTAAATTATCAAATAGGGTTAAAGCCAGTCAGCAAAAGATAAAAAGGCGGAGCCATGAGATTCTGGGTTTGTTTTGTTTTGTGAAAAATGGCGGCAAATTATGGTGCATACTGGCTTGTACAGTCTGGACTTTTCTTGTTTATTCATGTAATGCCCATGTTTCCTTGAATGATCCTGTGAAAGTCAGTATACCGCATTGGAATCTCATTTCACTGAACACTAGAAAAGACATAAAATGCCATTGACTACTTTTGTGATGTGGGGCATTTAAACACTGAGTCCTGAGATTCTTCAGCTGTAAACTGAAGTGCTCAGGATGACCTCCTTCCCAGCTCTGATGTTTTAAAATAAGTACAGCTGTAACCTACTGAGAGCCTACTCTGTGCTGTACACTGTGCTAGATATTTAACACACTCTATCTCTAATCTTCACAGCGAAGTGCAAGGTAAATAGTGTTATTCCCACTGTACAGAGAAAGAAACAGAGACTCAGGGAGGTTAAGACATTTACCCAGCCGGCGCCGCGGCTCACTAGGCTAATCCTCTGCCTTGCGGCACCGGCACACAGGGTTCTAGTCCCGGTCGGGGCGCCGGATTCTGTCCCGGTTGCCCCTCTTCCAGGCCAGCTCTCTGCTGTGGCCCAGGAGTGCAGTGGAGGATGGCCCAAGTACTTGGGCCCTGCACCCCATGGAAGACCAGGATGGGTACCTGCTCCTGTCATCGGATCAATGCGGTGCGCCAGCCACGGCGGCCATTGGAGGGTGAACCAATGGCAAAAGGAAGACCTTTCTCTCTCTCTCTCACTGTCCACTCTGCCTGTCAAAAAAAAAAAAAAAAGACATTTACCCAGAGTCACACAATTTACGGGTAACAACATTGGGGTTCACACCAGGTCTGCCTTATTCCAAAAACCCATGATGCTTCCATTATACCACAGTCGTTCCACAAAAATCTATGATCTCTGGGAAGCTTGGAAATATTGGAAAATGCTTTTCAGCCTCATGACATGTATTGAATGCAAACAAATTTCCTTTATTTACGGGGCAAATAACTTTTAGTCATTTCCTTTTCCTATTAAAGCAATTTCTCTGATTTTTCTGACCTAGTAGTGTACCAATACCACACTACATAGCATTTGTGTAATCTGTAAATGTAATTAGCCAAATAAATCTCCAGGAAACCTTGTCACATCTCTTTGGTAGATACTGCAATTAGGAACTTCACTAAATTTTCCTTAAGGGACTAAGGCAGGAAATCTTCATTTTATTAAATTTCTTCAGTACAGTAGTAGCTACAAATTTTGTTTGAAGGAAAAATGGAAACATCCCCAAATAAAATCTTATATGATAGCCCCTGGGTTCTTCTCCTGGAAAAGAGTCTTTATCTGATTCAGTTTTATGCACTTTGGTTTGAATCCCAATAAAGAGAAACATTTTCCATTTTACTCATCAATTCTTCAATGTAATGGAGCAAGAAAAAAAGTTTAGCAAAGAGGTTGACTGAGTGCTAATCCCTGGCATTGTATATGAGTTTGAATTGACTTTGAAAGATGCTTTTAAAACATGCATGGATGATGTCGTTGAAACTTAGGTTCCATTTATTATTTTTACTGCAACTTTCTTTAATTCTACGGAGAACTCAAACTAATGAGTCATGTAATAGATGACCAAGTACTTAAGCAGAATGTGAAATGGTACTAGGTGGGGATATAAAATAAAA